GATCTGGATAGGCTGATGGCCAGCTGACTGCCATATTTGAGACCTTGTTGCAAGTATTTCCGGTCATATTTTTTGTAAGCTAGATTCCTGAGAAGGCAAATGTAACTTAACATAGTCAAGAACCCTCCTTTATGGACTGAAAAATAAATTTTCCAACCTTTTTTCATAAATGAAACCAGGTACAAAAAACCCCCAACTTATTTCCCTACTACAAAGAAAAAGTCAGTGCGTTAATGCGGTCCTACTTGGTTGTAGTGGTTTGCACTTTACACATTTGCTTGGCAAGCAAATGTCGTTGGTTGGACTCCAGCCGGAGACACAAATCCCAGTTTGGGTTTGCGTCAGGAAGGGCATCTGGCGTAAAACTCCAAATCAAACATCCGGAGTGGCCCAAAAGTAGCTTGAGTGAGGCTCTGCTTCATTTGACAACAAATTTATCTTAATTAACGATAATATGTATTATTAAATTATAAATTAATATGTACTTTTGTGCTATTATATTAATTTAAATGTCCAATTGTGTTCTAACTAATTTTTATAGTACCTGAACCCCAATCTACTGGCTGTAGTGACTGAGAGCACAGACACGCATCAGGAACGCAGCTTTGTCGGGATCATCCTGATTGACGGTGTGACCGGCCGCATCATCCACGAGGCTGTTCAGAGAAAAGCCAGAGGACCGGTGCATATTGTGCACTCTGAAAACTGGGTGGTGGTGAGCACGCTTGTTTGCTACAGTCATGTGTAGGGATTGAAATAATTACAACCACCTTTTGTTGTCTTGCTTTTTGCATCGTTACAGTTTGAAGGCCATTTGTTCAAAGCACATAACTAAATGGAGGAACAAAGGGGAAATATTGAGGGTTATATTTATTGTGTCCCCTTCCCCTGTGTGACTCCGCAGTATGAATACTGGAGCACCAAGTCACGTAGGAACGAGTTCTCTGTAATTGAACTGTATGAAGGAATGGAGCTCTACAACAGCACCGTGTTCAGCTCGCTGGATCGGCCACACGCTCCTCAGGTTCTCCAGCAGTCTTACATTTTCCCCTCCGCCATTTCTACCATGGAGGCCACGCTGACTGAAAAGGGCATCACCAGCCGCCATCTGCTCAGTAAGTGCTACTCGGTTATATTGCTGTTTTCTGTGTTTTTTTGGCTTTTAGTTATTACATAATGTGTTAGAAATAAAAAGTATTTTCAGCACCGGGCTGCCCTTTTGTAATATGTTTGTTTGAATTTGCTTTGTCATAGTTGGCTTGCCGTCTGGAGGGATTTTGTCTTTACCAAAGATGTTCCTCGACCCACGAAGGCCAGAAATAGTATCTGAGCAAAGCCGGTCAGTCCTCAAGTCAGGCTTAGTGTGAAAATGAAAGTCAGATTTTTCTTTACTGTTATGTGTCTGACTTGTTAACTTGATCTTCAGTGAGGAGAACCTGATACCCTATGCTCCAGAGCTAATGATCCGTACAGAGTGGTTTATCAACTACAATCAGAGTATATCAAGAGTGCGAGGTATTCACACTTCCCCGTCTGGACTGGAGTCAACCTGCCTGGTGAGTCTGCCTTCAAAGTAATGAAAAGCACATGACAGCACAGTGTACGATTAAAATAAAATGGTTTAAAAACCATTTACATCAGATATATTTGGTTTAAAATGGTACAAAGACAACCTATCAAATGTTGAAATTAAGAAATTTTATTGGTTGAACCACACACTCATCGGCCACCGCACTGGGTCACCTGTTCAACTACTTGTTTACATAAATATCTAATAAGCCAATCACATGGCAGCATTGTAATGCTCAAACTGAGCATCTTAATGGGGTAGAAAAGTGGTTTAAGTGGCTTTGAATGTAGCATGGTTACAGATAATAATCTGAAAAACAAAAACAAAATGTCCAGTGATCAGGAGCTCTCTATGTGAAAATGTCTCATTGATGTCAGAGGTCAGAGGAGAATGGCCAGAGTGGTTAAAGCTGACAGTAACTCAACACATCGAACTTTAAAGGAGATGGACTAAAGCAGGAGTAGATCACACCAGGTGCCACTTGGACCAGAATCTCTGAGCAATGTTTCTGGCACCTTGTTGAATCTGTGCCATGAAGAATTAAGCCAGTTCTGAAGGCAAAATGAGGTCCAACATCGGACTAGCAAGGTGTAACTAATGAAGTGGTCAGTGAGTGGATATAAGATGTAACTGTGGCAATCGGAGCATGTTTAATATCGTGTTGCATCATTTCTTCTATGGGGTTCATAACTGAGGGGAAACAAACGCTGTTGTTTTAAAAGTGAAGTGTTTTCCCATCTTTGGTAGATATATTGATTTCAGCTGCTCAAAAGTTAATGGCGTACTTTACTAGAGTTGTGATCCTGAAATAATTGATACATTCCCTGGAAAAAAAGACTGGGTGGATAAAAGCATGTTGCTCTGAGATTTTCATATCATTTAGCGCACAAGCTCTGTGCACGTTTTCTCCAACCGTATTACCAAGCTGTGAGCCGCGCACTAAGAGCAAACCCACTGGTCCCTTTTTAAGCCTGTAGTATTCCAGGTTCATGGTTTCCAAAAATATTTTCATATTTTGATCTTTCATGCCGCTGAGCAGTTTTTTTCCACTCTGCCTCAGTCCATCTTACATGAGCTTTGGCCTCGCAAATGTCCTGGCCCCTGCGTCTTGTTTATGTTTGGGGTTTTTTTGGGGGTTTTTTCCACATAGTGGAGTTTTAACTTGTTTTTGTGGACGCAGCAGTGAACTATGTTCAGTAGAGCTCATGCACGATTTTCCACAATGGAATATTGTCTTGTTTTTTTAACCAAAGCTTGGCTATTCAGTATCTGCTTTTGACTTTCTTCCCCACTTACGAGGAATTATTTGGATCCTTTAATATCATCTGCCATAGATGAGAAATTCCCCCAGTTTAAATTAAATTGACAGTGGTTTTAAAAAACCGTTTGCCCACTCAGTCTCTGTCTTTCGCAAATGGTGAAATCCTCCTTGGTTTTACTTCTGTGAGGCTCAGCTTCTCTTGGATGTTTTTTTTGTATAGCAAATCATGTTACTCAGTAACCTAATTAGTTGTGAGAATGTTCCACCGGATCTTTTTTTTTTTCTTTTTCTTGGTATAGCATTATGCAACTTTTCCAGTCTTTTTTTTTTTTTTGCCCCTCCCCCGTGTTGCTGACGTCAAATTCAAAATGAGTTCAGAACATTTTTTTTCTTGTTTAACGTCCAATTTAAAGCATCTTCAAATCATTGCATGTACATTGTACACCGCATCACAACTATTTGGAAACAGGGCTGTAGATGATTTCTTATTTGGAAATGTATTGCCACCACTTGGTTTTCCTCCCCAGTTAAATAAAATCTTAATATGACAAATTTATTTTATTTTTTAGGTTGTGGCATATGGTCTTGACATCTACCAGACACGTGTGTATCCCTCGAAGCAGTTCGACGTACTAAAAGATGACTACGACTACATGCTGATCAGTAGCGTGCTTCTTGCCCTGTTCTTTGCCACCATGATCAGCAAACGCCTGGCAGAAGTTAAACTGCTCAACCGGGCTTGGCGGTAAGGCGACGGTTAAAATCCTACATCTGCCAGCTCTGTGGCTGCACGAAGGACCTCGGCTCCAAGAGATGAGACCGCTGAGGCCGTGCCTGTCCAAGAACACAGGTCAAAGTTCAATAAGGCCCATAAGGAACTGCAGGGGTGAGGGGACAGTGGGGAGGGGGTGAAATGAGGGGTTAGCAAAAAGTTTTTGTGTTTATTTTTTAACTTATTTTGCAAAAATGAATTATTTCATAGTAGAATAATTGTTCTTTTGTGAAATGTCATTTCGATTAAATGTTTAACACAGCTAATTATGAACCGATAAAACCGGCCAATTTATTAAACTATGGAGCTTGAAAACTTCTGCTCATGTGAAAGTTATTTTAGTTTTCCTGGGCCTTTTTTTTGTTTTGGTTTTTTGAGACATTTCTGCATCACTGGACTGATCTAATATAAAGCGATAACAAATGTGGAGCTGAGGGAATAGTCAGGAGAAATGCGTGAATGTGAGCATGAACTCGAACAGTACCATAGTGGAAGGGTTTGTTGGTTTTTTTTAGCCTGCTGAATCACCTTGATACTCCAGTCCCGTTTGGATTGTTGGCAAATGAGCTGTGAATATGAGCTGTGAGGTGATAATGTAGCATGTACAAGAAATGGTTTTTTGAGATGTCTGAAAACCACCAAATGAACTGTTACACTGTTGCCACCATCACATGATGAACCAAGGGAATGGGAAGAGACAGTAGCCTTTCTTTTATGTACATCTCTCATCTTGTAGCTCATACTTTTATGAGAAATTTTCCACATAGCTACTGTTGATGCTCCATTAAAATTTCTCCCAAAACTCCATTCTGAGCGCTTTAGTTTGTTGTTGTTGTTCTTCTTCTTCTTCTTCTTCTTCTTCTTCTTCCTCTGTCAGCTGCTCCTTTTAGGGTTCTTCACAGCTGATCATCTGCCCCCATCCACCTATATTCTGTCACACCAACTCTCTGCTTTTGATTATTATTATTATTGTTGTTATTAGTAGTAGTGTTGTTGTTATTATTATTAGTTCAATATTCCAGTTGCTTGTGACATGATCCTCTCTAAATAACAACATGTGCTTTTTTATTATGTAGTGCCTGAAAGTTCAATTAGACATGGGATGGCAGCCTGGTTTCACCCTAATGCCATAAAAACATATATGTTCATAGGTTTCTCAGTTCCTCCATAACAGATCCAGAACTCATGGGAGAGATATATTCCCCACCTGGCTTGGGATGAACTCTGTATGAACTGCAAGAGGTGACCAGGGTGAGGGAAGTCTGGGCTACCCCTGCGACCTGAACCCAGATTATAGATGGATGAGACAATAAAGTTTATCTTCTCTTAAAAAAAGGAGGTCAAACTTAGAGAAAGCTCTCTATATCATAGCTTGACTGTGGAGAATGAGGCAATCCTAGAATGAATAAGTTATTTATTTCTATAAATAGATTAAAGACAATTTTTACAATTGACACAGAATTATGAACTTACAAACAGCCTTTGAATGGGCCAAATCTGATACAGAACCTTCATGAGAACTTCATAGAGGTTGGTGTAACAAAGGTAAATGTGGGCCTGCACCTCAGCAGTGTAAACGTAACATGACTTCCATGCCCACACAGTAAAAAAAAAAAAAAGTATACACAACATCAGATTTACATCATTAAAATTTTTCATGAGGATCAGCTAATGACAATTTTTCAGCTCTATTTACAAATGCAACAAGTAAAAACTTCTGACTCGCTCTTCATATGTTTAAAGACCTGTGAACATAAGTGTGACTGCAGGTTTTCAACAAAGTTTCTAATGAAAATGAATTAGAATCTAGCTTTAAATACACACTGATTAAAATGAACAAATTGACACTTTAAATGCAGATGCTGAATTTTCTGTAGTTAATGTAGTTTGATGTAAATTTCTAAACTCTGGGAGTAATAAGGCTATCTTATCTCAATCAGCTTTGTGATACTGAAATCATAAGCTAATTCAAAAGCGCAAACAACCAATATTAGCTGCATCGAGTGTGTGTGTGTGTGTGTGTGTGTGGGGGGGGTGATCTAACATGTTCATTTGCATATTTACTATAAAATTTGTTAAGAATTTTTAGACTTGCACTTGGCTAACTCTTTATAATCTGGTATTTTTTAATGGAGCACTTTATTAAGTTTACCTGAAAAGATGCTAAAATATTCAAATAGTACTTTAATTATTTGGAAAAACATCAAATCTATCAATACATTATATTTTTCAAGCAGCATTGTGATAAAAAATAACAGACGTGGAACAGTTTGGCACAAGCCCAGCTTGTACATTTATAAAGACGTGCTCTCTTATAAGGTATATGTTGCATAGCTAAGGCTGTTTTTAGTGGTATGAGCATACGACTGTCAGACTTTAAAAATTTATAAGTGATCATACTTTTTTTTTTAGTAAGAAAACGGCAGTATCTTAGTTATCAAAAACTCACAAATGGTGATAGAAAATAAATATCTGTTCTCTATTTGTGAAAATACTATATTAATTTTGTGTTGTCGTTGTGGTCGAAGTAGAAGAGACGTCTCTAAAATACTGATTGGTAAAATGTTCAGTCAAAAAAACCTCGTGGATATTACACCAAACACATGTCAGTCAATGAAAATACCAATACGTTACACATATGAGCAGATATTATCGCACACTGTACAGTTGTGTATCACAGAGTGATTAATAACGTCAGTCACCGTTTTGTACTCGTCTAGTTTCAGACATGGTGAGATGATTTCTACCTTTTCTGCCAGAAGCTGCTGTTCCCTGTCTTAGCAGGTTCACTCAGGAGTCTTTCTCTTCTCTCTGTGTTTGCCGGTCGGCCCGGCGGCAGAAGGATGTAGTGCGTCCCGCTGGCCTTTCTGCCATCCTTCAAAATCGGAACAATGCAGGGAGAAAACTGGGTTGCAGGTGGCTCACCTGTCATCTGTCTCAGCAACGCCTTGCTGACATATTTGGGGTTAGCAGCAAAACTCTGAGTGGCAGGCATCACTCCATTGATATAAATTGGAAGACTTTTAGGGCTCGGGGTGCGTGGTGGACAGGGTGGGACTAAAGGCACCCTAGGAGGGATTTTGGGAGGTTTGTCTTCATCGGTCCCAGTCTTTGATTTTGGTGGGATGGGGATACGAGGAGGGATTTGTGGCCTGTCAGTGGACCATGATGAGGTGCTGGCGTGTGGTTGGGTGGAAGGACCCGAGCCAGAAAATTGGATTCTAGGTAAAAGGTTCTGGTCTGGCCGTTTGGCTCCAAAGGTATCCTCAGCGTCCGACACCACAGGCTGGATTTCATCTCTCTGGTGACCAAGGCACCAAATGTCGGCCGCAAACCTGCCTCCTCCAAATGTTGGCCGGTCCTCTCTGCTTGGCCAAGAGAAAGCCATGGATCCAACGCCAGCATCTTGGTAGGCATAATTTACTTGGCCAAAGTCTTTGCTGCTGTTCCTGCAGATAGGCTTTGGGCAGCTTTTGGGCAAAAGGGGCCGTCGGTCACTGGTAAAGAACTCAACCTCACTATCAGCTGCTTCATCTGACATAAGCTCCTCGGGGTCTGGCAGAGGTGGCAAGGGTTTGGCCTCCCTCTGATCAACCCCGAACACTGCCTGTCTCTGGGAAGAAGGAACCACCTGGTCTCCCTCAATGGGCAGCAGCATGTTGTCTGATGCTAGGTGGTAGGAATCAGAAAAAAATGGAGGCTGGGAGAGAGAGGGGTTGGCTGCGGAGAGAAAAAAGGGCAAAAAAAAAGGAAATGTGTTAAAACAGCTGGCACAAAATGCTACGTTTGCTTTTATACTGAGAAAGCAAATTGTTATGTAAGGCTTTGCTATCGCTGTTGTCTCCTCCAGTGCAGAAACAACTCTCAGAGGAAGAAACATGGAAAACAACTTGCTGCCCAACCGCCTTATAAAAACGTACTTACTGAAGATACTGTACAGGAAACGGGAGTAAAAACATCCTGAAAACACCAGCTTAACCTATCGCCTTCTTCGTCAAACATCAGCCACAACACCCTGATTAACAAGGGAATCGTCATTATCTGCAGGGCAGGCCACAATCTTAACTGAGCTTCCCATAACCTTCTCTGTGGAAACATCCAACGTGCCCCAGACTGCAGGAACAGCTGGTGACTGGGGAGCGATAGCTTCCCCTCCTCCTACACCCCGATCTCTTTCCTCTGGTACACAGCTTAGTACTGTGATGGCAAACTCACTTGCATCCTGTCTAAATACTGTTCTACGAGACAAATGAGGTTTAAAGGGTTTTTTTTTCTCTAATAAAAAACAGTGCATAACTTCACCTAATTTAACAAACATAACTCTTCACATCCTTTCAAAATTTCAAAATAATGAAAAAAAAATTGCCAGAATTTCTACAATTTACAGTAATAGCAGATACATACTGATAGTGTTCCTGATACATACAAATTCAAAGCAGAGGAGCTATGATAAAGTTCATGCATCCATGCTAAATCAGTTTCCTTCATTCGTGTAACACTAATATCTGAAAAAGACTCACAGTTAAACTCGCTGGCCATTTGCTGTTGCTGTTGAAGCTCCTTCAGGGTTTGCTCTGTGTAAGCACTCAGGCCAAAGCTCTGCACTCTGCAAAGCAGGACAGGTTGAGAAATCCATACAGATCTGTGCACGATGGTAAATCATTCCAAATCAGTCATTATAAGACGAGCTTAACAAATGCATTAACAGGACATGTGTTCAGTTGTCCTTTTTCTATTTGCATTATAAAACAGTAACAAGTTACTGGATTTCTTTTCTGAGCCAGACTCTGTGTCTATGATTGCCAGACACTGTTATTTAGTTTCATATTATCTTGCTATATACATATATAATAATCCTGCATGACTACATGTAGTTGCTCATGCTAACATTTATCCCTTCTCTGATATTTCTCTTTTTTTCCTGCTCAGATTTACATGCTCAACATTTTGCAAAGCTGCCACAGATTCACAGATAATAATAATAATAATAACAGATTATTTACATTTAAAAAAAAAAAAAAAAAATTGTATTAGGACTTGTGTAGTGTTAATTATACCTGTTCAGGTCATGCTGTCTCCACAAATTATTCTGACTCCTGGCCATGATGTAGAAGAGATCGTGTTCTTATAAGAAGCTCTGTTTGATATCGATCTAAAGCTCCAACACAAGTCAGCTCCGTCAAACCCATCACAGCCTCATTCTAGCCAGTGGTAAGCTGTTGAAGAAACACTGACATTAGAGTGCAAGGGGATTCATCTGGCTATCTTTTACATTCACATCTGGCTTTTGCATTACATCACATCATTCAGGTCACACCTTTGCTGATGTGAAATGCCCATAAGCAGGGTACAGCTGGATCTCATCACCGTCCATCACACTCAGCTGCACGTTCTTATCTTACCAGGCAAGGCGAAAGGCAGCAAACAATACAAGATAACTGCACATACACAAGCATACAGCATATATTACAGACAGATGGACTACTTCATGAAAATTGTATATAAAGCTAAGTATTTTACATTGAATGAGTAACATATAACAAAGTTCAGAGGATGTAACATTTCATGACATTCTTTATGTTTAGTATGTAGATTTGCAGGATTGTGAAAAACATTCATATCATTCACATTTCAGTGTAGTAAAAGTATCATTACACAACTATATCCAATAGCTTTTTCCTATTCTCAAAAAGGTTATGAAAGCAGTGCAAAAGAAACGCTTACATTTTGAACATATGCCATTTTTCACTAGACGCAGTAAACAAACGACTTGCGATACCCCGCATGTTTTAGGTGAGCCTTGAGGAAACAAGAGTAACAACAAAAGCCAAGAAAATTGCTTCAGCCTGCTCTCTCAGCCACCATATGTATCCAGTTTAAAGCTATTTGTCTGATGAGCAGGGTATTACACAACCTCTGGGTCAGATGTGGGAGGGCGACAGTACTCCTGCAACCTCCTTCGTCTCTGTGCAACGCTCCAGTATCTGCCCTCACAAAAGGGGCTTATTGTCCAGAATTCCTGTGATGCTGAATGACAAACTCCACCGCTGAGACGGCCCCAAAGCACCACGATTATAGATGCACTTGAAGGAAAATTTAGTTTAAGTCTGACAGGGTCACAAGCCCTAACCTTGTTAGCCTACTGGCTGAGAACAAAAGTGCACTTAAAAAGTGGCACAATGCGAATGACTAGGAAATGCCTTACTGTTAAAATATTTTAAGGGGTTAAGGTGAGAGAGAATTTTGTGCAGACAGGCAAAGCAATGAAATAAGTACAAAGAATGTACGTGACTTCCATGCTGATGATTAAGATTCTGAACTAGCACATATCTATAAAGATGATGACTGTTTCTCCTGATATGATGCACAGCAACTGATATCAACCTTGCTGTTGCGGTTTTGGCTTACGGTCAGATGTGCAGCTCAGGTTAAGCAGACCATCAGACAACTGAAGGAGTTTAAAACTGAGTGGTGCCCCTGTGTCTTCCCAGCAGTGACGCAGCAAAGCACCCAGCTGCATTGACTCAATGACATACCTCAAAATCTTTGTTCTCCCCATATATTGTACTTTACATATTTGTGCTTCTTCTTGCATTGAAAGCAACATTTAGGATTAAAATACAATAAGGCGGACACATACTGTGCTTATGCAATGAAATAAAAAGACCCATTTCACATTAAAATGAAAGCACCACACTGCCTGGAGGGCAACCCAAGGTCTCCATTCTACTATCACTGCAATCTTTCGCTTCAAAGACCTGCTTTGTTTCCTGTCCATGATAACTCCAATGCCGAAGTGGGAAGCAAACAATGCAGAGCATGCAAAGGAAACCCAACTACAAACAAAACAGTGACTCAAGCGTGGATTTGAATATTAATGCTATCCTTAAAACAACCAACTGTGGCGTCATTTCCACCCGTGAGCCTCGGAGATGGAAGACACAGACTAATTATGAATTCTACCGGCAATTACTCAGTGTCCATGAATGGAGCCACTCTCGGGCATGAATGGGCCTTTGTACCACTTTGGTGCACAGCGAAGCAAGCCTGAAAATACAAGTAAACTCTCCCATGAGGTTAGGACTAGAGATACGCCATGGAGACAAGCTGCCACGGCCAAGGTATGAGTCTGTGCCACAAAAAGTCCCCTGCGGGGGGGACTGCGTGTGTTGGCACAGTTGGAAGGACAAGCCAGAGGCTGAAGAAAACAGTTTGTTTAGTACATGCAGGGTCCTTGGTGTGTTGTCCTTGGCAGTCCCCACCTCAACTTTTTTTCAGGCAATAGACCACTCAGTGACCGGGCCTTCTTTACACACGAGTTGATTATCCTGATGGCGTGAAGTTTGCACCTTACACACACATACATACACACTAATTAAGTCTGCTAAGCTGTGGGACTAACTACAAGACTGCGCGCCACAAAACGAAACAATAAAGCATTTGATTCAATGAGAGAAACCATTTTAACAACAAGATCCGCAGCCCAAATACAAGTTTATTCACCAAACTAATCTGGGTTAAATGTGACTGCGGCTTTCAAAAATTTTTTTACAATGCACTAACAAACCAGACCTTTAGGTTTATCTGCATGTACTGATTTTTAATGGGTCACCAGGCGAAGCCCATGCTGTAAATATGACAGTTTAGTGCAGTTCATTAGATCCTGACATTTCCACCGTTTAACTTCATTCAACTGGCGAATAAAAGAGGCATATGAAAAGATGTTTGTGATGATATTTAACAGAAAAAAATGCAGTTTTAGTACTTGCTTTTTACTTACAAAAAATATAAAAAAAAATTAAATAAACATGTTAAAAATCTTTTGTTGTTACATATCTAATATTGTTACATAATATTAGATATGTAACAACCTATCTAATATTGTTACATATCTAATATGTAACAAGAGGGTAGGTAGACTTTATAGTCTACTTGCATGTCCGAAATGTTTTGTTTCTAACAAACTAAAGTCTAGATAGTGTGCAGAAAATGAAGATTTTCACATTTTTATAGTTTGAAAAAAGCACAACTCCACCTGGTCATGGGCCACATCGGCATGTAGTACATTTTCACATCATATGTAACCATTAAACTATATATTTATAGTTTATTTTATTACTATATTATATTATTATTATAACACAGCCCACGTTTAACTCTGGGTCATGCGCTTTTTACTGTAAATTATTTTACATTATATTACTGAAGTCACTTTTTTTTACACTTTTTGAATGATAGTTGTAAACCAATTTTGACTCCCTCATTTTATTATATTTTTGTGCTTTAAATTATACGAAAACTTCAGACAGACATAGGATTACTGGTTTACTCTCTATCGCCTACTAGTGGGTGAAAATGGAAGTGCCGAGCAGTCCAAGACCTATCCCGCCTCGACGTGACTTCCCTCGGCGGACGCGAGTGAAATCCCTCAGTGACTCAGAAGTACAGTGCGTTCCATTAGATAAATAACTTCCTCTAGCTGGTCTACTCACACAAATGTCCAGCTTACAAAATGCTGTCCACACACATCTGAACTATACAGACTCTACTCAGAGAACAGACTAGAGTGATTTCTGACCGGCTCTTTTTCTTGTTTTCGTGACGTCCCAGTGTGGAAAACACTCGTATACACTTAGTAACAGAGTAACATTCACATCACATACAACACAGCATCTGACCGTCCCGTGGTAAAGGCAAAGGCAACAAAAAAGAGCCAATATTCATCAAACAACTTTTATGAGAACGTGACGAGCCTCACCAATCAAATGCTGCTTATCCGTCACGTACAGCTGGTTTCGTTCGATCGCCCTCAGTCCCAAGCGAGAAATGACACTCGTGAGGCTAAAATCCAGTCTGTCAGTCAACCCTGACCCATGTGCATCGACCCTCCTCTGTCAACAACACTGGGAGGTGAAACTCATTTTGTCAGAGTGACGCGGGTTTCCACATCTCCTTATAAAAGAACTCAACACCCAGAACACGTTACCGTAACTCCACCCATGGCTGCCTTAAAGGGGAAAAATGCCTGTAATTCTTTTTACATCACTCTACTAGGAAATGCACTGAATACTTTACTAAGTTTACTTTACTATTTGATTTTTTTAAATTTTAATTAAATGTATTTTTTGAGTATGTAGTTAGAACCCAACTCTGTCCAACATAGTTTTGACTCTATTAAATGTAACTGATAATCTGTAATTATTTTTCACATTACATTTTTACATACACATGATAATGTTATAAAATATGATTATTTGTTCTCAATTAAACTATACAAATCATCTCCCTTTGACCAGGAATAACATTGAAATTGTACTTGCTCATTATGATATCAGCAGTAATTCACGTTTCTCTTACGTTTCATCTCTGTACGCTTTTACTCACCTTCCTGAACTCTTCCGTCAACTGAAGTGTGAATCTAACAAGATGTTTGTCTGCGCAACCTTCAGGTTTCAGGACACCATTCATAAAATCTATTTCCTTACTGTCAGTGGAACTAAGACTCTGTAGAGCTTAAGGATCTATGCTTAAATCTATTGAGCATTTCCCCTCCCATTTTATTACGTCGTTTACCCTACACTAAGTATGCCTCAGCAGGTCAAAAAGCAAAAATGTCCTTTATTTTATTTGTTCCCTGTAATGCATGTACAGGAAATTGCATTTCAAGCAATTGTGGCCTGACTTGTGTGGGAGTCAGAAAGTGTGTGGGTGGATATTGGCGTGTGTACAACATAAGACTGATAAAGAGTTACAAGCACTAGATTGGCAGACCAGACATGAAGGATGAGGACTTGTTTTGAAGCCTGCATGTCACAAAAGAGTTGACTGTGTGTGTGTGTTTGTCCTGTGTTTGTCCTCACCCACGCTGAGAGAGGCAGAAGGACAATATGAGAGGCCATTTACCAGAAAATAACAGGGAAGTGAGTGCGGGCTATTCTTGTTTTCACCACAGGGTCCAGACCACACTGAGCTTACAGTCTTCCCCCAGACTGCCATCTGATCTTTTTACTGCAGTAACAGCACAAATAAATCCTTAGGCAAAATGACCCATCAAATATTGTACACTGTATAACCAAGTCGTAAAATTGTAAGCCAAGTGACCCTGTAACCTTTCTTTCTTCCCTTGGTGCACATTGTTCAGTAGTTCCTCTGCTTGTACTACTCCAATAAAGCCCACATACAGTCCTATGCGGATTAAGGAGTGCCTTATACCTATATACTGACTGTAAATCACAAACCCATAAAATAAATACGCCACATGTAACGTGCTTACAGTGCTGCAATCATCAACCATCCCTCTCCCACTAACGTTAACTTGTTTGCTTAAAGGAATACTCATAGTTTCAACAAATAAGCTGTTATGTATCAACTTTACATTGTGCAATGTGGAATTTCAAAGTGACACAGAGATGTACAGTCACACCACTGTCATTCTGCTATAAACCAAGTTCAAGTTTTGTGTTACAGTTAACACTGTAAGACTAACAATACCAAACTATATAGAAATTAAATATACCACCTGCTGTCCCTTCAAAATCAAAATCTTAGTCTAATCATTTTTTATTAAATTGCATAAAGATGGCCATGCAAAATTCAAAGTTTTTGCAACTTTTACCAGCAGCTCTGCTCTTGCTTTGCAGTCCTCTGTGGGCGCTTGTGGTGACCCAGGATGCTCAGGGCTGTGGGGGTTTTTGCCAGGGTGGGCCAGTCTCCCACAGGGGAGGTCAAGTCATTTCCTGCTCTGAGAGACCTCCGTCCCTCACAGATGTCAGTGCAGTCAGAAGCCCACCTTCCACATCTGCAGCACTCCGCCTCCCAACATCCTTATCCAAAAAGATAAAGAAGACTGCTTATTTTTAATGTTGCAAACATACATATATGTCAGAGTTCGAGAGCTGGCCTGACTCAAAGGGCTATGGCACACATATGTGTGTGTGTATGTATAAAAATCAATTGTTCTGAGGAAAAGAACAGGATTAATGCAAGAATGAGTAAAAAGTACAAGATCATAATAAAACTCATCAAGACTTATGGCTATATTAAATTGATCTATCAGTTCCCCATCTGTCCAAGAATAGAAAACTAAAACGATGAGTGTGTGTGCAGCACAGCGCTTAACAATGTCTCAAGTTGGAAAAGGAAATGAAGTAGGTAGGTGTTAACATATGTTTTCTATGGTAAATACATTTGTGTAGGTTGATGTGCTGACACTGTGACACAGGGAATTCTCTTATAGAGGAACCAGCTGTGTACAAACATGTAATAGCAATTAGAGCACCGCTACAGGGCTGCTGTTTTCAAAGTCGCGGTTGACGTGTCTTGTGTTTAGGTTTCACATTCCTTGTTCCAGCGAATCTGTGTTAGAGGTTGTGATAACTACAGGCGCGTATGGCGGCCATATTTATGAGCCGTATACTTTAAATATGTGATGGCATAAAACAATGTCCACTTGATGCTGCCACATGTGTAAGAGGTTAAAAATCAAGATTGTTCAGAGATGAGTAAACGATGGGTCACCAGAACTGAAAGAGCGTCGTCATTTAACTCTGGATTCGAGTTGCTGTAATTGAGAAAAAACAGAAAGATATTCTTATGAAATTCTTATATCTAGTGCATTGCACCCCTCTCTTGCCACCTACTACTTCCTTCAGCCTGATTTGTAATATTTATGTTTGATGCTTTACTTCAAAGTAGACGGACAGTGATTAAGACCTGAATGTTGTGCTGCTGTCTGCAACGCTGTGTGTGATTTGAAACACACACCCCACACCTAGTCCTTGTTTCATTTAATGGCTTTACGGGTAGATCTGACAAGTTGGGAGCTGGGCTCCTCAAATGTCTGTGTGGGCTCACCACCACAGCCTTTGACCACATCTTAGCTCAGTTATCAAAGGAACAACAGTCATCAGGAGGAAGAGGAGGACAGATGGAAGAATCATGCCTCTGCTACCTTTTAATAATGGACAGATCTGGATGTGCACAAAGACTTCTGTGTAATCTAATCTGATGCTAAAGTGCTTTTTTTAAAAATAATAATAGCAACTGATATTTTCTGTGAATAAAATCCAGCTACAATGGAGCTTAATGGAGAGAAATGACACACAAACACACATAAATGAACACAGATTTCTTTAAAACACAGAACAAACAAACAATGAAGCAGCGTAGCTTTTCCCAGAGTACCAGCAGAGAAAAACCAAGCACAGTAAGCAGGCAAGCTGATGGAGGAAGTACACCAAGGGATCAAGGATTAAAGTGATTTAAACGCAGCAACATCAGATGTCATGGTGACAGTTTCAATGAATGGCAGAGATCTGAGCATGAAAGAAGAGCAATTCTTTCCCTAGGATACTGAACTGGACGCCTGGCCAGCTTTTCTACCCATTACATCAGGCCTCAGTGTGGGCAGAGGCTCTGCAAACCCAGCAGGAGGACTTCCGCAGCCCTGTGAAGTCCATCTCCAGTTCATTAAGAGCTTCAGTTGAAATGAGCAAAGGGAACAGAAGGCCGGAGGAGGCTCTGTGTAGAATCCAGATAAAAAGAATACAGAGAGTGCCTTGGACTGATCTTTGACCGTTATTTAACTCATCCGTGGCAGCTTTTCTTGATAAATCACACTTTTGCCGGAGTGGAAAAAAACATTTGCAGGCATCAATGCAAATTAGCTAACAAGGACATTTTGGGTAAAGAGAGGAGACACGAAGGCGCTGTCAATATTTCAATGTTTGCACAGTTTTCGCAACTTGTTCTGAGGTCGAAGTCTTTTTGCACAACTGCGTCATCCCGGGTCATCTTTAGGAGGACGGTGGAAACTAGTCAAATTTGGTCAAATTGTTGTTCTGATTATTTAGTGAGTGTGCGTGTGTGTTTGTCCACGTCATGGCTCCATTGAGTAGCAAGGCTGAGAAATGATATACGTATACAACCCACAGTTTTCCCCAGAAAGGCATGGTATGCTCTCTTATAGTCTGTTCCTTTCCCAAAAATTAACTTGGAGTCCTGAGGCAGTTTTCCCTTTTTTTTTCCTCCTCCTCACTGTGTCTCTCCTCCCACTCCAGACCTCCTCCTTTTCTTCTCTCACCTTACTTACGCGCACTCCATCATTTCCTGTTGAGTCACAGAGTCAGGCTGCACCATGTTTTACATTTTATTAGTCCCCCCTTTTTTTAAACTTTCCTCCTCCACTTCCTTGTTCACAAGATGGCTATCGTTTCAAATTGAGGGGAACGAAACACAACGTCGGCCCACAACAGCCTTCCAAGCAGCATTTTGGAAAAGTCAAAGCAGATGTACAAGTCTCTTCCTGGCAACTTGACTGATTCATACAGTAAATGACTTGGAGGATCAAAGGATTATTAGCTCTACAGATAATTCACCACCTCACTTGCCACAACATGTCATCAGTATACAGCATTAATGCCAAAAAAAGAAGTTTCCAGCAGCAATGAAAAACAAAAGATGTAGCCTTAAGAAATGACCTTAAAGCATCAAACTGTCTGTTAATATTGATCACTGAGATAAATTACTTCCTTGGAAATTAAGTCCATATTGCGCCTTGGTATTTGAGTAGTTACCCTGGTCATTTGGGAGGAAGTGATGCTGTAGTGAGGTCAGCACTAGTGTTTAACATATTCAGTGCATGCCTGTGTGTTAGGCAGGGTTGAAGGCAGGGCTCTGAGAAATGAAAGGGCTCTGTGGTGGACCGGTTGAGTCATTCAGAAATACAGCTGCTGACTCAGTTTGCAAACTCGTCTCCAGAAGCACGTCGCCAGCCTATGTGGCATTATGTGTGTTTGTGTGCATCCACCCTGTTCCTTTGAGGGACTAATATCATGACTACGACATGAAGACAACTCCTCCCAGGTGATCATTGTCACTGTGAAAAAGAGAAGAGGAAAAGGTTATAGTACTAATAAAGGCTTCATTCTTAAAAAACTACAATTGTACTCCTTTATTCACAAACTGCTCAAAGAAAGCAGATTGCATCAAATGGAAAATGAAGCTTTGCTCGAAGGAGTGCCCATCACAGCGCTGCTGTAATCCCCTTCCTGGCATGAGGTCAAAGTTTTTCTGTGATTCAAGCATGTCGTCATCTCTTGAGTTTACTCTACACACCCTTCTTACCACACTAGTCTTACAACTGTCATCGACACAACGTGATCCACTGGAAGTATGGACTGTGGGACATGCTCCAGGATTAGTCATCTTGGATGTGTTGCAAGACCCAGAGCTGGGATGCTGTTGTTGTTGACATTATTATGTTGAGAGGACAATTAAGGACACCTTGCTCCTTAAAGGAATGCAATTTCCTGATAACAACTGGAGAGCTATTTATCTACTTTTGGATATTATATCTATCTATCTATCTATCTATCTATCTATCTATCTATCTATCTATCTATCTATCTATCTAAAAGCTTGGGTCCTCTACCAGAGGCCTGGGAGCTTGAGGGTCCTGCGCAGTATCTTAGCAGTTCCCAGGACTGCGCTCATCTGGACAGAGATCTCCGATGTTGTTCCCGGGATCTGCTGGAGCCACTTGCCTAGCTTGGGAGTCACTGCACCTAGTGCTCCGATTACCACTGGGACCACCGTTACCTTCACCCCCTTGGTATTTCTCCAGCTTCTCGTGTTCCTTCTTTCTGATGTTGCTGTCATTCGGAATCCCTATCAGCTAGCCTGTTAGGTATTGTGGAATCTGGGCTAAAAATGTAGGATGCAGAAATGGGCAAGCACTGAGGGAACAAATTGTCATGGTCCTGAGTCTCTGGATTCAGTGGTTTTGTTTTGATTATTATATATTATCTTTGGTTTTGGTTCTGTACTCCCTCTGCTCCAGTTCTGTCATGTCTCTGTGTAATGTCTAGTTTTTCTGGATCTAGCTTCATGCTTTCTGGCTGTTTCCTCCTCGTAATGTTCATTAGATTCAGCTGTGATCTCCCTCCTGTGTCTTGTTCCCTCGTTACCTTGTGTCTGTACAGATATTGTGCAGGCACAAAATGCAGTTGCAAGCAAAATGTAGCTTACCTCTGACCTAGAAGTGAATCTACGTGTTGTCTGTGTCTGTAAGCGTGTTTGCATTGACCTCTACTGCCCTCTAAGTCACCTTTCACAATATGTCATCTGGACAGTCCCGCCAGATGAAGCTTATGACCCTCACAAGACTGAATGCTAACTCTTCATGAGCACATTTGCAATGTGTGTATGAAATGATCATCACTACTTATGTAATAAAAGTTTTCACAAAATGCCACTACTAAAGCTTAGTAAAAAATGATGTATTTCCCACAATATATATATATACATATATATATATATATATACATATATATATATATATATATTCTACGTTGACTTGACAAGACGATATTCAATAATGAAGTACATACATTAGCTGATAAACTGGGTTTACAGTTAATTAACAGGAATCTTTATTGCCGTATGTGTTGACATCATAACACTGTATATAATGTATGGCAGATATACTGGGTGAAATTTGCTTAGTAGCTGGTCCATATTTTGAGGCTTTCCCTTGAGTAATAGGTGAATAATTCACTTTCTTGCTGACTGTACAGAAATATAATGAGACAATAAGAGGAAGAAGTGGAGGAAAGTTTCAGTGGGATCAATAAAATGCAGAATTCATGCTCTGGCTTCAGCTGATCCACAAACACATGTAGTCTTAACACCAGGTATTCATATAACAATCTATTCTTCCTCGCTCAGTCTTTTCA